GACTTCAGGCTATACTAGGAAACTACAGTCATCAAAGCAACTCGATACTGGAAAAAAAGCAGACATATGTATCAATGAACAAAGTAGAGAGTCCAGAAATAATCCCACGAGTGTATGCCTGCGTGCGAAGTTGCTTTAGTCATGTCCGACTCTTTACAACCCCATGGACTGTAGCCCACCAGGCTTCTCTGCCCATGGATTCTCCAGGCAAGAATACTGGAGTGGGTTGCCATGCCCTCTTCCAGGGCATCTTCCTGACCCAGGGATTGAACCCACGGATTCTTCACCTCTAGTGACACCTGGGAAGCCCAAACCCATGCACCTATGGTCTTCAACAAAGAGGCAAGAATATACAATGGAAAAAAGACAACCTCTCCAACAAGTGGTGCTGGGAAAACTGGACAGCTACATGTAAATCAGTGAAATTAGAACACCCCCTCACACCATATACAAACATAAACTCAAAATGGTTTAAAGACAGCATAAACTCTTAGAATTCTGAGAACAGAAGCCAAACACTCTGACAAAAAATCATAGCAATATCTTCTTAGATCAGTCTCCCAAGGCAAAATAAATTAAAACAAACATAAACAAATGGAACCTAATTAAACTTAAAATGGTTTGCACAGCAAAGGAAGCCATCAACAAAATGAAATGACAACTTATGGGATGAGAGAAAAATATTTGAAATGTCGTGACTGTCAAGGATTTAATATCCAAAATACACAACTCTGTAACAAAAGGTAAACAACAAAATGAAAAAATGGGGAGAAGATCTAAATATTTTTCCAAAGAGATGCAGAGGTCCAAGAGGAACTGGAAAAGAGGCTCAACATAAGTAAATATTGAGTAAGTAAGTGAGTAAGTGTTAGTCACTCAGTCCTGCCTGACTCTTTGCGACCCCATGGACTGCAGCCCACCAGGCTCCTCTGTCCATGAGATTTTCCAGGCAAGGATACTGGAGTGGGTTGCCATTTCCTTCTCCAGGGAATCTTCCCAACTGAGGGATTGAACCTGGGTCTCCTGCACTGCAGGCAGATTCTTTACCAACTGAGCTACAAGGGAACCCCAAGTATCGTGCCCAACTCTCTGCAAACCCATGGACCCACCAGTCTCCTCCGTCCATGGGATTCTCCAGGCAAGAATACTGGGGTGTGTTGCCATTTCCTTCTCCAGGGGATCTTCCAGACCCAGGGATCGAACCCAGGTCTCCCACATTGCAGGCAGATGCTTCAACCTCTGAGCCACCAGGGAAACCCAAGTAAATATTAGGGAAATGCAAATCAAAACCACAATGGGGTTATGCCTCACATGGGTCAGACTGGCTATCATAAAAATTCTACAAATAATGAATTCTGGAGAGGGTGTGGAGAAAAGGGGCCTTGATACACTGTGGGTGGGAATTAAATTGGTGCAGCCACTATGGAGAATGGTATGGAAGAATCGGAAAAAGCTACAAATATAGCTACCATAGGATCCAGAATTTCCACTTCTGAGTACATAACCAGAAAAAAAAAGAAAACTGTCATTCATAGCAGCACCATTTACAGTAACCAAGACACTCAAACAACACAAGTACCCATCAACAGATGACTAGCTTAAGAAGATGTGATATGATACACATACACACACACACACACACACACACACAGTGGACCATCACTCAGCCATAAAAGAATGAAATATTACCATTTGCAGCAGCATAGACAGACCTAGAGAATACTATAGTCAAGTAAGTCAGAAAGAGAAAGTAAATATATATTATTTATATGTTGAATCTTAAAAATAATACAAATGAATCTATATTCAATACAGAAACAGACTCACAGAGAGACAAACTGAGCTTATGATTACCAAAGGGGATAGGGAGTGGAGAGGGACAGGAATTAATTAATAGGAATTTGGGGTTAACAGATACAAACTTTTATACACAAAAACAAAAACTAATAAGGAATTGCAGTAAGGTACAGACATTATATTGATTAATTTATAACAATATATGGACAATAATCTAAAATACATATATATATGTATCCAAATTGCTTTACTGTATACCTGAAAATAATGCTTTACATCAGCTGTATCTCAGTTTAAAAAATTCACACACAAAAAAACTCTTTCTCACTGTTTGTTAAGTGCACATTGGCGTTGAAAAGAGATTAGGGCTGAATGAGATAAAATGTAAAACAGATTTCATATACTAGTTGTGAACATGTTACTATCCTACAATTCAGGTCCTCTTTACAAAGAGTAATAGCTTGTGCTGCCTCCTGGGTTCAGTTCAGCACCTCAGGAATCAGCTTATCATTGTGGCTGCCACAGCCATTCCTTCTGGCCCAGGGAGTAGGACTTCGTCCCCATTATCATCTTCATGTCCAGTGGGGAGCATGATACAACCTAGATTCTACATCAGGTGAGTTTTCCACTATCAGTCTTTAAGCCCTGGAAATCCATCATCTAAAATGGAGCTGCTGGTTGGCCTGTGCAGAGGGCAAAGGGTAGACATCTGACCCTGGAAATTTTACATTCTCCATCAGCCTGAGGTTGACCATCTGTACAACAGGACTACAGCTGCCTACTTCTAGACTTGTTAGAAGAAAAGGAGAAAACCTCAAAGAACAGCTCATACACAACGGGACTTTGAGATGTATTATTTCTGGCCCACCTTGCATCTTGTGTGTGCATGCTAAGTCGCTTCACTTGTGTCTATCTCTGTGCAACCCTATGGACTGCAGCCCACCAGGTTCCTTTGTCCATGGGATTCTCCAGGCAAGAATACTGGGTGGGTTGCCATTTCCTTCTCCAGGGGATCTTCGTGACCCAGGGATCGAACCCAGTCTCTTATGTCTATCTGCATTGGGAAGTAGGTTTTTTACCACTAGCACCACCTCAGAACGTTTCTGCCTATGTCCTCTTAAATAGAATATTTGAAAAAGTGTCTGGAAATGTAGCATCAAGTAAACGTTGGTTCCATCTCATCAATTCCTATTTCCTCACACTTTCTGGTGTCCTTTTTCAAATTCTAGTTTGACCAGAAGTAACTTCTTATTAAACCCTTAAGGAAGGATTAGTACAGGAGAGCAGAGAATAGGCACAGGTCAGCTAGACAGAAGTCATCAAACAAATGTCCAGTTCCAGAGTCATCAACTGACCACAGGACCTGGGCTTAGTCCCTTACTTGTGTTGGCCTCAGTCCTAACACAGAAGTACACTCACCTTAGAAACAGAGATGATGGGCAGAGCCAGGCAGAACCTGGTCAGAAGACCAGGATTTGATGTTGGGAACCATTATGTGCTGACTGATTTACCTTGATAAATTAGTAATTTATCTAATATGTGTGCTTGGTATCTTTTATCATTTTTGTGGGGTTTTTTTTCAGTTTTATGTGTATTGTTATTTTCCCTACTACTCAGCCAAAATACGAATGATGGAGGTGGTAATTAGCAAGAAGTTAGGGATGAACCCAACTGAGAGTGGAGTATCTAGGAAGTGAACACAGTGTGGAGGTGAGGGATGCAGACAAGCATTGGGCTCTCCCTGGGTGCCGGCCGTGTGCCCATACTCTAATGACCCAAGGAAGATTCTTACCCAATAGCATTCCTGGTTCTCAGCTGCAGACAGTGGGGGCTACCACAATGCGGGCTACCAGGGAGGTGCCTAGCTGAAGCACTCTGCCCTGATCAGCTCCTGCTCCACTGAAGGCCACCATAGCTGCCCTTCCATTGCTATCTCCCAGCTCTTTGCTTCTGGGTATCAGAAAAGGTCCCCCTGTGGAACCTTCCAGACTTGATTCTTAAAGGGCTTCCACATGCAAATGATACTCTATTATCCCCAGTCCTCAAAAGTTGTCCTGCACACTAGGGAAGGGGGACTCTAAGGTAAAGAAGGAAATGTCTTTCTCTCAGAGGTATGTCATCTCCACATATTTACCCAACATACCGTGTTTTTGTAAGCAATGACCTTATACATTTCCTATACACAGCCCGATGATACACACACATGCACACACACAAGTAGATATGCTGGCAATTCAGTTTAATTCTAATTCATCTCCTCATGAAACTGAACATAATGAATTCTTTTCTTAGGTAATGAATGCATGTGCACATGTATGTGTAGTATCATATTCATCAATAGGGGCTTTTGAGGAGTACCCCTTGAGCCTGTTATATCATGGGAGAGCAAAGTAACCATTGCTCCAGCCCACAGTCTAAAAGGGAGGCTGTTCTACTGTCCTCCAGAGAAGGCAAGGGACAGAACCTCACCCCAAGTTCCTGCTTATCTGGACAGGTGATAGAAGCTATAAGAGGAGGACCTCTGTCATCTGTGAAATGGGACTCATCTCTAACACAGAGCTGTCCTGAGGAGTGAGTGAGAAAGCCTGGGGCTAAGGCAGGCACTGGTCATTCCTCATGGTTCTCCTAATGAGAAAGTAGATATCATTAGAAAGGGAGCAATGTCTCTCTGATATGGCTGGAGTTCAAAGTTCTAAAGAGAGAAGGAACTCTAGTCTCTTGGGAGACTCAGAAGATCGTAAGAGGCACCCAACATTATACCTGTGAGCAAATTCTGATCCAGTCCCTACGCTGGGAAGACAGGCTTGCCTTTGACTTACCTGGTGATTTCAGTGAGAGATGGCAACAGGGAAGAAAGCTGTGGTGTTGCCTAACTGCTGCTCCTGGACTGCTCCTTATGTTAATACATTGATAGGAACATTCTGGACCTGTCTCTCATTCAACACTGCAGAGGGGGGATCAGATCATGCAACATCCAGCCATGTCACACCAGAATTTCCAATATCTGCTGCCTCCATGTGGGACAAAAAACTAAAAGTACTACCATTTCATTGAAATACAATGGTCCATTCTTTCATTCACTAATATATATTGGGCTTAAAATTTACACTATTCCATTTGAAATAGCTCTTTACTCCGCAGTAGAAATAAGAGGTTAAGAAACAAAATGGGCAAATTTAAGGGTAAAAAAATGAGATGGGATGTCTCCTTCACATTAACTTTTAATCTTGCTCAAGTTTCAAGGCATTGAAGATTAAGTAATCAATCCTTGGACTTCATTTCCCCATTCAACCACATGCCTCTCTTTCTCTTCATTTCTGTCTCTGGTTTCCTTTTCTCTCTCGCAATGAGATCTCATTTTCTGTAGATAAATACACAAATAAATACACAAATATACACACACACACACACACACACAAATATGTATATACCTACATAAGGAAACTTCAAGGAAGACATAATGAAGATGAAAACATTAAAGAGTTATCTTTGGGTGGCATATAGTGGAACAATGATTTTCCCTGCTCCCCACTGGACATCTACTGTGACATGAAGAGTGGAATGAACCTCAGGCACAGTGTTATCAAGATAAAAGTGCCTGAAAACCCAACTGTCTGTACAGACAAGTGCAGGATTCACCAAACTCACAAAAATGATTCAAGCCTGCTCAAAACAACTAGAAGCTTACTATGTACTAAGAATGAAATGTTCCGGGTTAAAATAACTGAAATAAACAAGGAAAACAATTTACCTTCAAGTTCCCATTAATTATTCGTCCACTCCTCCCAGTTCCCTCCCAACTCCATGCAAACCCAGCAGTCACTTCTGAGACTATTAGAGGTGATTCCACACTGGGAGGAGAAAGCCCACACCATTTCATGCTACTCAGCGGAGAGGTGGAACATGAAAGTGGTCGACAGTGCAGGCACTGGGATGGAGAATGCAGACGCTGAGCTTCACTGGGACTGGCTTCCCTCACAAACAGCTCGTCATTCACTATACAAAGACTGGAGGAAAAATGCACACGTGAACAATTTATGGATGGACCACCTGCACCCCAATCCTGACTGCTAACACTAACACTCAGCAACCGGATCCCTTCCATACCCTCCTGTGTCTGTACCCAGGCTCCTTGACTGGTTCCTCTGCCCCTCACACAGAGCTCACCTTCAAAGAGATTTTCTACCAGCTTCACTCAATGGACAGGCTGATCCCCAACCCAGAGACAACTTCACATTTACCCTGAACAGTAACCCAGTACACAGCAGTACAGGGGTGTACAGTCTGATTCCCATTTTCAGAAGAAGACACTGAGTCACAGACAGATCATGTGACTTGACCAAGGTCACACAGAGAGTGAGCATTGGGTCAAGGAGAGAACCCACGTGCTGATTCCAGAGCCCATGCTCTTCCTAACCACTAGGCTAGACTGGTCCTTGGATCTCCCTGCTGGCTTTCCACAATATTGAGTCAGCCTAAGATCTGCATCACCACATGCCCAGGGCCCTGAGTTGAGCCCAGGCTGGATGGGCCATCCTGCCCACAACATGGCTCTCACCTGGAAGAGCTGATGGGAGTAGTGATGAAGGTCCAGGTGAAGGCACGCACACAGCCCTGAGAACTTCCTTCCACTTCAACAACAAACAATAAGCAAGAGTACCCCTTAGAGCCCCATGTGTTTACAGGCTCCCACATTATTCCCGAGTCAGGGTCTGACTTGACACTCATGCTGAGGGGACAGCTGTTCACTTGGGGAGCCTGGGTGTCAGGAATGGGGAGGGCAACTGTAGGAGATGTCAGTGCTGATTCCAGAGCCCATGCTCTTCCTAACCACTAGGCTAGGCTGGTCCTTGGATCTCCCTGCTGGCTTTCCACAATACTGAGTCAGCCTAAGAGCTGCATCACCACATGCCCAGGGCCCTGAGCCCAGGCTGGATGGGCCATCCTGCCCACAACATGGCTCTCACCTGGAAGAGCTGACGGGAGTAGTGATGAAGGTCCTGGTGAAGGCATGCACACAGCCCTGAGAACTTCCTTCCACTTCAACAACAAACAACAAACAATAAGCAAGAGTACCCCTTAGAGCTCCACGTGTTTACAGGCTCCCACATCATTCCCAAGTCAGGGTCTGACTTGACACTCATGCTGAGGGGACAGCTGTTCACTTGGGGAGCCTGGGTGTCAGGAATGGGGAGGGCAACTGTAGGAGATGTCTGCTCCCAGTAACATGTCCCCATGACAACCACTTCACAAGCTCATGGGATGCATTTTTCTCCATTGCCAAAAAGATGGATATTATGAGGAAACTGTGAGGTTAAATAATAGCCCAGGTTCTGTGTAAGGATCTGGTATGGCAGCCACCAAACTCCACAGCCTGTGTCCCTAATGCCAAGGGTGGGCAGGGCAGACATGGACGCAGTTAAGACCTGGGTTGTCTGTGGGAAGATTGAGGGCTGGCAGGGGTGGGGGGAGGGTGTGGAGGGGAAGGGGAGAATCTGAAAGGAAGAGTTCTGATGGGAGGGAGCCTGACCAGGTGAGAGAGCAGTGTGGCATCTAGAGGGAGCGGGCTGCACATACTCACCTTCCTTGAACACCCCACTGACAGAGAAACAGAGCATGGTTTCCTAATAGGCAAGAGACCAGGTACTCAGTCACCCCTCATCCTCTTCCCCACCAGTGGCTTCCTACCTCCCACTACCAAGGGAGGAGCAGGTACTCACCGTCTGGAAACACATGTCCACCATGAAGGAGCTGAAGTCATGCTGAGTTTTGGGCAATGCACAGAGGGCATGCACAATGTCATGTTTTGTGTGTTTCAGCATCTGGACACGCAGGTCTGTGGGGGAGGGGAAGAAAGGGAAGGTCAGGGCAGCCACACCATGGATGCTATGATTGCCCCCCTCACAGCACTTCCCACCTAGCTTTCCCACCACACACTCACTGGGGTCCTTGAGCTTCTCTGTACTCCTGTTGTCCTTGAAGTACAGGCGCATGCTGCTTCTAGGAGACACAGAGGAAGCTTGGGTGGTAGTCCAGCCATCATAGGTGTCAGCAGGAGCTGGCCTGCATCTGCTGGGGAACCACACAGCCTGGGGGAGGAGTCTAGGCTGTGATACTCACAATCCTGAGTCCTTGGGGTGGAATGGAATCGTCAGGAAGAAGCAGGCCTCCTCGTGATAAAAATCCAGGAGTCCCTGGCGATCTCCATAGTCATGAATCAAGTAATACCTGAGGGAAGCAGTGAGTACAATCTATCTCTCTGGTCTGGAGTTTGGGTCACCCTTTCCTAGACCTCCCCTTGTTCAGATTCCCAGGGGTACTTACTCCTGCAGGAATTGCAGAATTTGACTGTTCACCTGATCAAATCCAAAGAAACTTCCCTGGAATCAAAACAGTCTTCAGGACAAGGGCTGACACACCCTCATGTACCACCTAGGACCCTGCTGGATCCAATGTGCTCACCTTGCACATTGATAAGAACTTAGGAACTTCAATAGCACACTTAGAACCTGAGAGTGTCTCCTGGCCATCCTGAATAAGGGAAGAGGAAGTCAGCGGTGCAGTCCAGGACGTGGTGTTGGATGATCAGGGAAAAGGATGGGCCCAGGATGGGGTGGGGGTCTGAGGTCAGATGAGAAAGGGCCCTGGAAACACCAGTGGCAGGACTACATTTTCAATTATCTTCATGGTTTCCCCAAAGCCTGTGGCGTACAAGGCTGAAGAAGATCCAGAGCTTTTTCAGATTCTCACAGAGAATGGTACACCTCCCTCCCACAGGACATTTAAGGGTCAGGTTCAAAAATAGAATGTGGACAGTTCCTAACATGTTTCAGAGTAGTTTGAGGGCACTGTCAATGCTATTTAGTGGAGTCTGTGATCAAGGAATGCACTTACCAAGCTTAGTAACCTAGGGAACAATTCCAGGATGATGTTGCCAAAATCAAGACAAAAGAGAAAAGTCAGTGAAACTGTGGAGATGACCCTCCTTATTGGAGCAGTCACTCACAGCAATCACAGCCCTGTGTGCCCACCACAGAACCCAGTATCTTAGCATTCCAGGGCCCTGGTCACCACTCCATGGACTGACCTAGAGGGAGATTGTTCCCTCCACTCCTTTCTACCAGTCCCTCCTCCATCTCCTTTCTCCTGGGTAGCTCCCAGCCAGACTGTCCTGACTCCCTTCTCCAGTGCCACAAGGACCAACACTTCAAATTCAGTCTGCCAGGCCTGCCTTCCCTCCCTTCCTTCCTTCCTCATGGGCCCACTGAAGGCTATGGAGAGAACAGGGAATGGGGGGAGAGCCCAGTGCTTTGCTATATCACAGGTTGTCCGACACTCTGTCAAGTCAGAACAAACCTCAGGGATGACCAGGTGTTATGTTAGGGAAGTGAGCAAGGTGGGGCTCAGGAGGTAGGGAGAGGGAGTGGAGGGAGGAGGGGAGAGATGAGAGAGAAATAGGGATGCAGAGACAAGGCAGAGAGTGACCTTATGTTGGTTGACTTATCAGGGAAGTTGGTGCACACAGCATTTCTGTCTGCACATATCCCTTCTGGTTCCAGCTGCTGACCCTTGTCCATCTGCCCTTCAGCCTTCACCTGGAATTATCGGTAAAACCCACATCTACCAGATATCTCTTCATCCATATCCTTCCTTTCCCTACAAATCCACTTCCCCTCATCTGTTACCACCCCATGAACCCTCCTATCTTCCTTTCAAGGGAGGATCTGGATGCCCCACCTCACCTCAGTGTTGGAGGTGTTCAAGCTCTGGACATTGGAAGCATTCCCCATAATGGTGGACAGGCCATCCAGCAGGTAGGGTTTCTTGTTGCTCAGGTCCAAGGATGAAAACTATGATGAGGAAAGGGAGTGAGAACCCCAAAGGGAATACCTGAGACATATCTGCCTCTTCTACCTAATATCTCCCTCCCTCACCATCAGTCCCAACATTGGGCCTAGGTCCTCACCATGGGCCTGATCCCTGGAAGGATGTGCAGGGAAATAACCATGCCATTTCTACAGTTCTGTGTCATTCCAATATCACAGGTCATCAAGTCTCCAGGAAGCCAGGACAAGGGATACAAAGGCTGAGAGGGTCCCAGATGGCACACCTCCAGCACCAACCCCTCCCCATGATATCATCTTTGAGTGCTCTACCCAGACAGACCCTCTACCCTCACCTGCCCTACAATTACTACTGTAGCCATACCAGGGCCAAAGCGGAGTCTCTGATGTCAAGAGATTGCTGGCAGGCATCCTATGGTTTGTTCATGGTCAGCTGCAGAGTTAGGGATGGGGTTCAGTGGCTCTGAGTCTGGGGGTGAGCCGAGGGGAGCAGTGGGTCTGGCTGTGAGTGCACAGTTTATGCTTAGTCTGCATTACCTTTATCTGCTCCACCTTTTCAGACGTCAGCACCTTCTGCACAGACTGGGGTGACTCACAGGGTTCAACCAAGATAAATATCTGTAGAGAACACAAGAGGGGCTGGGTAAGCTCCAGGAAATCTGTGCATGGGATCAAGCAAGACCATGCCCCTCCCCTGCCCTCTTGTCCCTAGTCAGGCCTGATAACGCCTTTGACACACACCTTTTCATTAAACTTATTGAAAATCTTGCCATTGATATTCTTCAATTCACAGGCAATGTTGGCATTCTCTACAAAGAACTGGGCCTGCATTTTCTCATAGTGAAACTGTAGGGAGAGTGACAGGGGAAACAGAATATAAGACCAGTGCCATTTCCTTTCTGGGCCTGCCACTAACCCCATTTCGTCTCATCATCTCCATGTCCTGTATTACTTCGAATGCAGTGAAGGGGACACTGCACTTCTTCTGAATCAAATTCAGCAGCCACTTCTCACCATATTTTATACCAAAGGGAATCTAGGAACCAGAGAACAAATGAGAAAGAGAATGGATACAAAGAAATCTATGGTTAACATAAGACTCAATTGTGTCTTGATTATCATTTTTAAAGTTAGGACAATATCTGTTATCTTAACTTTTTTTTTTTTTTACCAGACATGGATTTTCTATATAACTTTCTTTTCTTTCAAACACTCTTCCTGAATAAGTTGACTTAATATGTTTCACATGTAGTTCCTTTTATTAATTTCCAAGACATCCATATGAGGTAGACTTGGCCTGTCACTCTGACACGGACCCGAGAGACTCAACCTCTTCCCACACCCAGCTTGAGCCAAACACATGATCTGGTGTGAAGTGTTCCATCTCCTTGGCAGTAGGTTTCCTCTTTTGCTTTTAGTCAACCTTTCCCATGCTCCTCCTTGCAGGCAATCTGTTTCCTTTCTATTGCTTCTCTGAACTCACCCTTAGATGATCTAGGAAGACAGCTCCTAGTAAGAACAAGACAGATTGCCAACACCACTGCCCCAGAAAAATTCCCAGCATCTCTACACAAATCCAACCTGACTCTCTCTATCGTCTTCTACATATTAGGTCCATTTAGCCAAGGTACTCACTATGATCTTGAACCAGCTCCCCAAGGTCTCATCCTGTCTGTTTCTCCCCATTCTTTTTTCTGGAGGCTTTTGTTTTGTCTCCATGTAAATATGCATTTGGTCTTGTTTCTGAAAACTACTTCTCCAATGATGGGATGGAAGTTCACAGCAAGCACTGTGGGGAAGTGGAGAGAAGAAAGTGGTCCATATAGGCTTGGAAAGTCTTCTCTACATTTTCCCACATCATACCAGAGCTACAATGATTATTGCTCAAGCATTAACCTCATCAAGTATTCCTCAATCTTCCAAGTTGGATAGAAAAATGACTGATTTAACTACAAGACTTTGTTGTTCACTGGTTGGTACATGTCAGCCATGGTGACTGGTCACTTACTATCTTGCTTGGTTGTCCGTACAAGCATCACTTTCTTCTGAATCTCTATCTTGCTGCTGCTGGGAAATGACCTGTTCAGACCAATAGGTGTATCGCCTTCGGTAAACACCCCAGCTTGGTGCTCTTCTTTGTAAAGTGTTCACTTTATTGGTGTGCTCTAAAATTGACAACAACATATCAGTGGTCCCAGTACCAGAAGAAGTCCTCAGTAAATATCATGGCTAAAGAAAAATTATCACTGACTTTGTGATAAACAGAAATGCATCTCATGCTAAAAAAAATAAGGTAACAGACTTCACTCTGGCTCCACTTTTCAGGAAATGAGAGGTAGGGAGCAGTCACAGCCAAGAGGAAAACAGGCACTGAGGTCTGGATCTAGAGTAGTCTCTGATGTTAGACTTTGATCTACTTGGTTCAGGCTAAGTGACCTGGGACAAGTGGCATTTCATCCCCAAGTCTCAGTTCTCTGCTCTGCTCTAGGGGGACATTAAAACATACTCTTAAATCTACCATAGTGTGATAGTTCAAAGGTCAAAGGTGATCTGCATCCCTGAAGGAAAAATTAGAGAAATGAATGATAAGTCTGATGAAAAGATCCAGAATGGAGTCTGGAGAGATACAATATGGAGAATATCAAAAGAGAAGTGTAGAGAATTACAGGTGATGAAAGGAGTATACCTAATACACAGTTAATGTGAGTGCCAGAGAGGAGGAGAGGAAGACAGTGGAGAAATGGTAGCTGATGAGAACTTGGTTGAAAAGTTTCCAAAAGTAGCAAGATATCAACAGAAGATAACAATATTAATCAGATTAAAAGTATTTTTTAAGGAAAAATATTTTTAAAAGAAACTGTGTTCATTTCATCATCATGCAACAATAACTCAGAAAATTTGTGGTCAAAAGATTCAAACTAAAAGAAAATGTATATGTTATTTTTCAGGCAGGAGAAATAACTTCCCAGGTGGAGTCACATAGATACAGGAAAGAAAGCCTAATGCCATCTGTGAATGTGTGAGCAACTTTAAATGAGTACTGACTATATAACACAGTGATACTAATTTCTTATGGGAATTTAAATATAGGGAGGATGAAAATGTGTGACAATATGTTTGGAGGCAGTATTCAGAATCAAAGTGTCTCAAGCAAGTGCTCGGGCCTGGTGCACTGGGAAGACCCAGAAGGATTGGGTGGAGAGGGAGGTGGGAGTGGGGACTGGGATGGGGAATACATGTAAATCCATGGCTAATTCATTTCAATGTATGACAAAAACTACTGTAATGATGTAATTAGCCTCCAACTAATAAAAATAAATGAAAAAAAAAAAAAACAAAAACAAAGTGTCTCAAGGTCCCATAATTCTCCCAGCAGTTTTAAAGAACTAATTAGCTAATATTAGACTATGAAATAGCAAAAATATCCATTGTAATCTGATGGATAACTACTACAAGAATGGCAAAAGAATGTTTAACAATCTAGCCACATGTGGTAATAATTTCATAGTTATAAAATATTAATCATTTCAAAGGAATTTAGAAGAGGAAAATACATATGTACATATACATTAATATGACATATGTAAACCAAATTACATCTTTTTTACATTAAAAGATTCAGACTAAATATTACTTAAAAAAAAAAAAACCCAAAGCAACAAACAGACAAAAGGCTATTATCAGATGGGAGAAGAAACCTTCCATCAAATACTCTTGAAAAGAGACACATGCAAAATTTAATCATCTAGAAAATTTGAAAATTAAAAATGGCAAAATGTATACCTTTTCCACATGAACCTACAGAAAGATGGTGTAACCATATTATACCAAAAGAAAATGTAGACTTTAAGAAAAAAAGAGACATTACAAGAGAAAGAGATTTTCTTATGCTAACAGAGACAATGCTGTAAGAAGATATTAACACAAAATTCTAAATGCATGCCTTAATTCAAAACCAAAATATTGAAAACTAGTACTGACAGAAATAGAGAATGGACAAAACAAAAGTCACAGTGGGAAACTGTAACACAGCTCACCTAGTGACAAATGAAGTGGCAAATTAAAAAAAAAAAAACTAAGCTAGATGGTGAAGATTTTTAAATATGACAAATATACTACCAAATTAATTTAATTGATATAGAACCACCCACATACATAGGAACTCAAATGGAATGTTGCAGAATCAATCATATACTGGAAAATAAAGCAAGCTTCAAGAAGTGTCTATGGACTAATACAATTTACCCTGGCTAGATAATAGAAGATTCTATTTTTCTAATAGAAGTAGTAATGGTGGATTTTCTTACTCTTCCACCTCTATTATTAATCCAAAGAATGGCAGTTTCTGTGAACCCCACCCCTCACCTAGGTTACCATCCCCCCTCTCCAAGCCCTAAGCTACATGACTCAGGTTTTTTCCTTAAATAGGGGAAAAAATCCATACAATGGGATATTTTCCATGTGGGATGAAGATGGGTGCCCGAGCCCATGTGGCCCATTTCCTCAGAGTAGAAATTAATCAGCCTTGGCCCTCTCCCCGCTTTCTCTATAGGAGGGTCAGCTGGTTGGGGTCCTGTGGGTTGGAGTGGGGTAGGGAACCCAGAACTCTTCCTGCTCTGTGACAATCTGAAGAGAAGGTCTCACACAGACCAACTCACCCATGGGATGGCCTGAAAGCAGCGATCTGTCACCACTGTCCTCACAGGCTGCTCTAGAAGGGACTGTGTGGGTCTGGAGCTGGAGGTTTGGAGAATATCAAGGAATGCTGGCAAGCAAGGAGACAGCAGGTCCCAAACTCTCAGGGTCACGAAAGATGGAGTCCTTACAGGAAGTCCCTTCCCCAAGGGCATAAAGGAGGAGAGCCCTGGGAGTCAGAGGAGACTAAACTTCCTGTAATTACTGCCCTCTGAGTTTGCTACCAGCCTAACATCCAGGGAACTCTTTCCAACAGTACCTCCCCTTCAGAGGAGGTCAACTAGAATCAGGAGGCTTAGGGGATCTTGATACTTACAGCTACAAACACAGAGAACTCTCTATGCCAGATTCTGCATTAGCTACATTACATTGTGTTCCTTCATTCTGCAGACCCAGAGAACTGGGAAGGCCAGCAGTAGGAAACTCTCTGTCCTTGCTACATTGCATCTGTTCTTTCATGTATTCCTCACAAGGGGACTCTGATACCAGGACCATCGGCTTTCCCAGGTTGCTGAGGCTTACTGAGGTGCTGCACTTGTCTAGGGTCATTCAGATGCTACTTGGAGAAACAGGCTGAAACTGAACTCCACGGAATGGAAGATAACTTCTTGAAGCATAGCTTTACTAAATATTTCGTGCAATATAGGGGGTTTTCTGAAGTTTATGCAAAGTACCCGACCATTCTAAAAATAATCAAATGGCTAAAATTAAATATAACACATTCCAGAGGATCATATGAAAACAACAACAACAAACAAACAAACAAAAAAAAAACCTTGAAAGTATAAAGAAAATACCAAACAGAGTTTGATGGGTCACTGTAATGACAGTGGGGAGGGGGGAAGCTAAAGCATATCCTTTCCTTTAAAAATATATAATCAGTGTAGGCAGATATCCCCTAGTGCAGTCATCCCCAACCCCTGGGCCACGGAAACATACCAGTCCCAGGCCTGCTAAGAACAGACTATACTACAAAGCCACAGTCATCAAGACAGTATGGTACTGGCACAAAGACAGAAATATAGATCAATGGAACAGAATAGAAAGCCCAGAGATAA